AATACATGCTAGTCATCCAGCCCCAGGAAGAAATCGGCAAAACAAAAATCACCTTTTAATTCCATCCTTGATCCTCTCACAAACAGGAGACTGCCGAATGTACAAAGATAGGAAAAAGTACATTCTTCCACTCACCTCTAATACTAGATTCTTCAAATTCTTGCAGTCACCATTTTTACTCCACATTAGCACATCTTCCTATCTGCACAAATACCTTAGAAGGTACCACACAAAGAAAACCATTCTTATTGAGCAGTGGCCTCACATCTACAATGCTAGCACTCAGGGGGCAGAGGCAGGCAAACCCCTGTGAGTTCAAGGCCAGCCTGGTCAAAAGCATACAATTGAAAGGAAAACATCCCTAATCACACATAAGTTTGTCAACTACACAAATTCTAAAATCTACTAAATATAAATTGAAAACATTAAAAAACTAGATGTTCTACTCAACAGTAGTTGGTAACATCTTTTTTTTAAAGGTTTTGTTTGTTTGTTTTTTCGAGACAAAGTTTTTCTAAAGTAGCTGTGGCTGGCTGTCCGGGATCTCACTCTGTAGATCAGACTGGCCTCAAAGATCCGCCTGCCTCTGTCTCCCTAGTACTGGGATTAAAGGAGTGTGCTACCATGGCCCAACTCTTTTTTTTTTTAAAGTAACTGACTTTGTTTGTTTGTTTCATGCAAGTAGCTTTTGAAATTTTATTTATTTATGGAACAGGAGAGATTGCTCAGTGGCTAAGAGCACTTGTTGTTCTTCCAAAGACTTTAGTTCAACTCCCAGCACCCACACAGTAGCTCACAACCACCTGTCACTTCAGTTCCCAGGGGTCCAATGTCCTCTTCTGACCCCCACGGGCATCAGGGGGGGTCACAGACAAAATACAAACATAAGGTAAAAATAAGTAAAATATTTTGATTTTAGATTTTGAGGCCAACCTGGTTACAGAGCTAGAGCCAGGACAGTCAGGGCTACACAGAGAAACACTGTCTAGAAAAACAAACAAAAAACAAAACATTTCTTCTCACATGAATCTTAAACTTGTGTCAGGTTGACATGAAACTAGCCAGCACACAAAGGAACCAAGTTTTATGTGAACCTGGCTGGGAAATGGGTTGTGTTTACTATCTGTTGAGGATGCCAGTGGCTTCAAATTTGTGTTCTCTTCCTCTCCCTCCTCATCTCTTTCCTTTCTTTTTCATCCTGGTGCCAGGCAAGAACCACAGTGTCACACCAACTAGGAAAAGATTTTTACCACCGTTGTGTAAATTATTTCCTCTGAAGTCCAAAGACTCCATCCTGCAGGGAAAGCTCCTCTAGCAGGAAGGCAAACAACTCAAAAACTTCAGGAAATCCTTGAAACTAACTAGATTTACTAAGCCCTCCCTGCCAGAATCAACAATAAAAGCTGAAAGTCCCTCAAAGACAAGTGAAACTTTGCTGCAAAGAAGATTCTCAGAGGAGAAAGGTTGCAAAGAAGACTCTTGAGACAAGAACAGCTGCCTGGAAGAAGCAGAAATCAGGACAAAGCTGTAAAAGGTTTAGACTAACTGAGGCTCCTGGAAAGAAAACTCCATGAGAATGCCCAAAGCTCAATGAATTTGCAAACACTCATCAAAGTAGGAAAACATCCAGAATGTCCAGCATGTATAAGAACCCAGAAATTCTGCTGGGGAGTCGGGGAGAAGAGATTCGCCTTTAATCCCAGCATTTGGAATGCAGAGGCAGGTGGATCTCTGAGTTTGAGGCCAGCCTGGTCTACAGAGCGAGTTCCAGGACAGCCAAAGAAACACAGAGACACTGTCTCAAAGAACAAAACAACAACAAAAACAAAAAAACATACTAATACTTAGGTGATGTGTCTGTGCAGGTTAAACTGGAGAAAAGCTTTTTCAGTTTAGCTAACGTAAGTGTGAGTGAGCACCCCCACTTGTATACCATCTTCTTAAGATTTCAGTCTGAGCCTGAGCCACACTTCTCGTGTCTGTTTTGGCAACAGATCTGTTCTGGGTGTGCCCTGACTCACTCTACCCTTCTCCCGAGAGGCAACCTCTTAAGTAGGTAACAGTGGCGTTACCACCCAAAGGGCGCTGGTCTAAACACAAGGATGGTTGCACCGCCCCTTCCCTGTAGAGAGCCGCCCACAACGCCTCGGCTAGAGTCCAACACCAGATGGGGTATTCCCAGGGGCCCAGCGAAAGATAGAGGGCCGCAAGTGGCGGACGGCACACGGAGAAGTCTGGAGTTCGCAAACTCCAGGAACCGGCAGGGCGCCGAGGAAGGCCGCTTCAGGGCGATCCCAGGGGAGGCCCAGGCGCCGTGGCAAGACAGAACTCACACCACGACCATCAGGAGCCTTGAGGTCAAGCGCCTGTCGGCCGGAGAGAGGCCGTGAATCGGACCCGTAGAGGCTGAGAGGACCGAGGGGGGCCGAGCCGCGACCGCCGGAATGCGACGCGGTCCATGCCCATCTGCTGGTACCTTGGCTGGCGGAGTCCATATTCAGGTGACAGCTGGGCCGTAGCTGGCGTCGGAGCGGAGATCGTAAGCCCTTCAGGAGCCAAGGTCCGAGTACTGGAACCAGGCAGCCGCGTACACGCGAGCCCGTGGAACTGTCGGGCCGCAGCAGTATTACGTAATCAGCGCCGCGCCGCCTTACTTCCGCTTGGACTTGGGCTCCGCCTTCTTCCCGGCCCTCGCTCAAGTGGTGTCCAATGAGAACGTCCTCTGGCCTTACGTAAGACTAATCATTCAATTTTATAGCTCCAAACTACAGCGAAGCGGGAAGTAATTCTGTTCCAGGCTGGTTTAGCCAGTGAGATTCCTGGGTAAAAAGGCCAGAGCAGCCGACGTTCGAGGGATGGTTCGGTTTGTTTAACAGTGCGTTTCACCCTCGCATCATATCCTCGGCTACCAACGAGCCCCTCAACCGAGCACCTCGGCGGGTCAAGCTCAGGCCTGTTCACCCTCAGCCCCCAGTCAACCTCTCCCTGCCTCCGAGAATTTCTTTTGGTTTTTGGTTTTGATTTTTGAGACGGCTGACTACGTGGACAAGGATAACCTTGAATTTAACGACCCTCCAACCTCCACCTCCCTAGTGCTAGGATTACAGAAGTGAGCTACCACAGCCGATTTACACCGTACTGGGGATCGAGAATCCGGAACTTAATGCATGCTAAGCAAGCACTCTACGAATTAAGTTGTATTTGCAGCCTCTCTATGAAGACATTTTTATTGTCTGGGGGTTGCAGTAAAAATAGAGAAAGCGCGATTCATCCTCTTGCCCTGCAGGCGCCGCTCTCTCCAGACGGAGGCGGCTCGCAGTCTGGTACTTGAAGAGTTCACATAGCCCTGAACATGGCAGGGGCCGGTGGACCCTCCCAGTAACTGAAGCCCAGTCCTGTGCACGCACCCAAGTGTTTTCTCTCTTTTTCACAGCACTGGCGCCTCCTCCCAGTTTTCAGGTGAGCAAACTGAGGCTAAAGTAATTTTCCAAAGATCCCTCCAGAACTTTGACGTTCTTGTGGTGTTAGTGTATCAACACTTCATAGGAGAAAAAGTTCCTCCAACTTCAGATGAGGGGGCTGTGACCACTAGGCAGCTGTCTACTAAAAATAAAAATAATAATAAAAAAGTCTCACAGTTTCTTTTGACCTTTAGTTTCCTGGAAGAAAAGTCCTTAAATGATATGACCCCCCCTCTTCCAGAACTGCACCTCCTACAAAGTTGAACTTCCCTTCCAACCAGGCCCCTATGAGTAGCTTTCTGGAAGTTCCTGGAAGCTTCCCATTACCCCTCCCTTCTCTGGCTCTTCTCCCTACAGGTGTCTTCTTGCACAGGACTGGGTGCTTCACTGATTATGACAGTATTCTGTTCAGGGCTGTCCATTAATATATCTTCTTCATTTACTGTCTTGATTAACCCAACCTGGTAAGCCCCAGTCCACAGGGCTGGAAATGGTATGAACAATCAGTAGTCTCTGCTCCATATAATGAGTACAGCTCAGATAGTGGTGAGTTGAAGACTTGTCATTCTGTTTTGGAGTTTTTTGGGGTTTTTTTTTGTTTGTTTGTTTGTTTTTGCAGGGGTTGGAGGAGGTTGAGACAAGGTTTCTCTGTATAACGCTGTCCTGGAACTCCCTCCATAGAACAGGCTGTCCTCAAACTCCTCCACCTGCCCATCTCCCAAGTGCGGAACTAAAGGCGTGCACCACCATGCCCATCTTCTGCTTTTAATTCTTTTTTTTTTCTTTTTCTTTCTTTTTTATTTTTGTTTTTTTTGTTGTTGTTGTTTTGTTTTGTTTTGTTTTTCGAGACAGGGTTTCTCTGTGTTGCTTTGGAGCCTGTCCTGGAACTAGCTCTTGTAGATCAGACTGGTCTCAAACTCACAGAGATCCACCTGCCTCTGCTTCCCAAGTGCTGGGATTAAAGGCGTGCGCCACCACTGTCTGGCTGCTTTTCATTCTTGAGCCATGAACAAGGCCCAGACCTAGCCCAGGTCTGGCCCAAGTAACAAACAATCATTCAGGATCTCTAGGATCCAGGCTACCCTGTGCGCCATTACTCTAAGTCTATAGCCCCTCTATGGATCTCCCTTCATAAAATGTGGAAATGAGAAGGGGGTACTGTAAATGCTGAGATCTGCTAGCAAGGAGGTCCTACAAGTGAAAGTAGTCATTGTCGGTACTCTCCTTACTTTTTTTTTTTTTTTGCTTTTGCAAATAGGGTTTCTCTGTTTAGCTTTGGCTGTCCTGGAACTCATTCTGTAGACAGAACTGGCCCTGAAACTCACAGATATCTGCCTGCCTCTGTCTCTTGAGTGCTGGGATTAAAGCCCTGCGCCACCACCGCCCAGCTAGTATTCTCCTTTCACTAGGAGCTACTTGAATATTTAGTTGGTATCCTCTTCTCAGGAGCTACCCTACAGTCCAAGCCATGTGAAAGGCACTCCCTGTAGCCCCACAGCCTCCCCAGCCTCCCACTATCAGACATCACATTACCATAAATTGGGTCAGGTTTCACCTTTACATTCCTTCAAGAACTAGACACAGGCATTCATATGTGTGGGAGGAAGAGAAAGGAGAGAAGTGGCCGAGAACAGAAAAAAAAAGTGAACACAAGTACAGTCCAAGATATACTTGCCCACTCTCTCAGACACCAAAATCCCAGTAGGGCCAGTTTTTCTGTAGGGTGTAAGGAGAGGAACAGTTGATGGGAGTTGAAAGGTGTAAATTGCCCAAATTCGTCAGTCACATAAACAATAGCTACAATCCCCAGGGCAATTGGAAGTCCTCAGGCTCCAGTGGGCTGCAGTGTGTTGCCTCCAAGTTTTTGAGGTGCTTGCGCGCTAGGAACAGTGCAAGCTGCCGGCGCCTCCGGGCACTCAGGCCTTGGCCCACAAGCCAGGGGAAAGTAGGTCCGTGTGGCCCCCAGGCCTCAGCATCATCCATCTCCTCCTGGCGGCGCTCACGATAAGAATGCAGCATTGCCAAGCACCACTCCTCATCAACGCGGTAGCGCGCATAGAATGCAGCTTCTTGAGCCAAGTTGCTGATGCGCAGCCAACGGGTTACCACCGTGCGGCCCTCGCGGGCCATCACTGACGGGTATCGGTGCTGTAGCAGGCGCAACAGCAGCTCATTGCCGCGGTTACCTTCCACATCGCCCTCCACTGGACAGGATGGCAGAGTAGATATATGGTTCGAGGTGCTGACAACATCATCCTGGGTGCGTCTGAGCAACAGAACTGGGCCTGGGTAGCAACATAACTGCTCAGCAACATTGAGATTGAAGTGCTCCCGTACAGTGCGTACCACCAGCCCCTTCCAACTGTGGGGCATGACCTTCAGCGCTAGGGGCACCAGATCATCAAAGGTGGCATCCAACACCAATGCACCTAGTTCTGGGTAAGTCATAGCGGCCCAAGTGGCTGTGAAGCCTCCAATAGACCAGCCATAAACCACGACATGTGCTGGCGGGAAGTTCAGGCGGTGCAGTGCATACTTGACGACCACATCCATTGCATTTGCATCATGTTGCGGAAAAGGTGCACCTGTGCTGCCCCCGAAACCAGGGTGGTTCCAACCTAACACTGAGTATCCAGCCTCCAGAGGTGCGGACAGACAGCCCATCTCATAGAAGCCAGCATTGCCTTCACAACATATAACCAATCGCAGGCCACGGCCATGGCTGCCTGGATGCTTGCGACGATCCATGAACATCGTGTCAATCTCATTACCATCGCAAGCCACCAACTTGGCACGCCGCCCACGGTAGCGCTCCACTAGGCGCTCTTGGCCCTGCTGCAGTAGAGGCAATAGCGCTCGTGTCATCAAAAACATAGACCCAGGGTATACAAGCCAGCGGCCCAGTGAGTGGGCCAGCGCATAGCTGGCAAGTTGGCTCGGCAGCTCACGGATCTGCTGGAGGAGGCACTGTGCTTGGCTCCGAGCCCCACGTGGAGGCCTTGTGAGTGTGTCCGCGCCCAGTGCTGCATCATGTAGCAGCCACACACCTGCTGCAGCTGCAGCACATGTCAAGGCTCGATGACTGCTGCCAGCGCCTGAGGCATGCACGTCATCCCAGCGGAAGTCCACCGGCCAGCCGCGGAAATTGTAAGTGTAGTTTGCTGTCAAGTAGATCTTGAACACGTGCACTAGTGCCTTCACAAAGCAGATGACACACATGGGCAGTGAAGCTCTGCCCTGTTCCTGCTAGCTTCAAGGCCAGAAGGCCCAGTCCAGGTAATGGAATAGCAGCAGGAGACGCAGGCCCGGCCCAGCCGGCGGCTGCGGGAGCAGGCGCCAAGCACAGCTTTCTGTTGGCATTACTCCTCTTGGTTAACCCCAATGGCCATTGTGACCTGTGCCTTCTGGGGCTAAGGGAAAGCTGTATCACTCTCAGTTTTGTGAGTCATTGTTGCTGGGGAAAGTGACTCTTGGGTAACAGGATCATAAAGGGTTTTAAGGCTTGGTATATCTCAGGTTCTGTTCCATACCCAGGGACAAACCTTAGGACATCATAGGTGCCGCCTACCATGTTTGTAGCACCTTTAGCTTCTCCCGCCTCCTCCACTGAAGCTAGGTAACCAAAAAGGCCAGAAATGAACTGCCTTGACTTCTTCCTTGTGAGGGGAAGAGAGAATTAAGCAAAAGGGATTTCCCACACCTGGGCCAAACCTCTTGTGGGTAACACACTCTCAGCCCCTCCTTAGACCTTGGGGTTCGTTGGTTTGCATTTCCCTGCAAATATCTAGGTTAGAACAATGCTGCCATTGGAGTTAGGTGTGTTTTCTCATAGTCTTACACCTGCAGCTCCACACTTACCTTCCCTGGAAGGGGGCTGAGGGTGGGCTAGGAACATCTTCCCACAACACACACACACTCACTCACACATACACACTCATGCACACTCAAATACACACTCATACACACACATTCACACACTCAAATACACACACATTCACACACACACTCAAATATACACTCATACACACATACACACACTCAAATACACATATATATATATATACACACTCACACATACATACATGATACACTCATACACACACACACACACACACCTTTTCTGAATCCTTTCATTGGGCCAACAGCAGCCATCACCTCCAGGTGGGTCCTGCCTAGCTGTGGTTCCTCTTTTTCAACCCCAGGTTGAGCATGCCTCTCCCACTTGAACCAACCCACAAACTGCACCTTCCTCTTTTCTAGAGGGTTCTTGTGGGTGAGTTCCCCTTTTTCTTCTGCACTGAAGGTGGCCAACCCACCTGAGGGTCAGACTGAGCTGGGGAGAGCATACCGCAGTGCTCAGGAACTCTTAGTGGACAAAAGCAAAAAGCATGGAAATTCAATCAGATCCTCTGAGCTCAAGGGTCAGGACTACTTGAGAGACCTCAGGCTTTTAAGGACAGTGGTTTTCTGGCCTAAGCGACCACTCTCTGCTCTCCTGTTCTACTTTTGAATTAAGGCACTGACCGCCCAAGGCAACTCCATAGTTTCTGGACTCAGCTGAGGAATGCCGTTGTTCATAGAACAAAGGAGTAGGACTATCAATAAAATTCCCATCTCTATGCCAAACACAGATAAAATGCCTAATATCCCCTCAAAGTTCAACTTAGACAACAAAACTGTATGTGTCTCTCTCTGTGTGAGTGTGGGCGTGTCTCTGTGTGTGTGTTTGAGATAGGGTCTCACTGTGTAATTCAAACTAGCTGCAAGTAACAATCCTCCTGTCTCAGGTATGAGTGCTGGGGTTCTAGTTGTGGTCCCCATGACATTACATTGGTACAGAAGCATAGCTTTATAAACCTGTTTTCACTTTCAGGGCAGTATTTGCTAAAATACGTGAGGTAGTCAATACTTCTTTGTAAAAGTAGACTTTCAGTTCAATGATTTTGCCCAGCTATTGGCTCATATAAGTGTTCCGAGTATACCTAAAATAGGCTGGACAACACTATGGTGCTCAGTATATTAGATGCATTAAACACATTTTTAAAAATTTACTTATTGTGTGTTTGTATGTGTTTGGGCATGCACATGTCAATCCATCATCAGACAACTCATGGACATTAGTGTCCTTTTTCTACCATATATGTCCCGGGGATTGAACTCAGATTGTCAAACTTAATAGCAAGCACCTGTACCTTAGGAGCCTTCACGTCAGCCCTTAAATACATTATTTTTTAATAAAACTTTTTGTTTTAAAAGCTTGGTATGGTGGCACATGTCTTTAATCCCAGAACTAGGAAGACAGAGGCAGATAAATTTCTAAGTTCAAGGCCACCCTAGTATACTGGATTCTAGAACAGCCAGGGCTACACAGAGAAATCCAGGCTTGAAAAACAAAACAAAACTGGGGGCACGTCTTTAATCCCAGCCCTCGGAGGCAGAGGCAGCAGATTTCTGTGAGTTCAAGATTCCAGGACAGCTAAGGCTATTACACAAAGAAACCCTGTCTCGAAAAACAAAAACAAACAAACAAAAAAACCAAAAACAAACAAACAAACAAAAAAAACAGAAAGAAAGAAAAGAATAAAGGAAACAATGTTATTTATTTTATATGAGTGTTTTCTCTGTGTGTACATACGTATACCATGTTCATGCCTGATACCTACAGAGGCCAAAAGAGGGCACTGGATTCCCTGGAACTGGAGTTACAGATGCTCATCCCCCACCATGTGGATTCTGGGAACCAAATCTGAATAAGAGCAGAAAATGCTCTTATCTGCTGAGCCATCTTCCTAGCTACCAAGAAAAACAAAAACAAAAAACAGGGTGCATGCCTTTAATCCCAGCACTCAGAAGGCAGAGGCAGGCGGATCTCTATGAGTTTGAGACCAGCCTGGTCTTCCTAGTTCCAGGACAGGCTCCAAAACTACAGAGAAACCCTCCAACTTACACATTGGTGCTCACCTGTATCCCCGGACTTAGGAGAGTGAGACAGGGAGACCCTCGTCACCACTTCCCTTAAAAAAAAAAAAAGCAGAAAAAGAATACTTGCGACTTATGATGTACCTATCAGCACGTAAAATCAAAAGATACCTGTGGGGCTTTTTTGTTTGTTTTTTTAATTAAACAGCCCATCCTAACACAGGATTCCCTCTTTTATCTTTTTTAATTATTTATTTATCTTTATTTTGTAGGCGTTGGTGCTTTGCCTGCAGATCTGTCTGTATGAAAGCATCAGATGCCCTGGAACAGGAGTTACAGACAGTCGCGAGCAGCCATGTGGGTGCTGGGAATTGAACTCAGGTCCTCTGGAAGAGCAGCCAGTGCTCTTAACCACTGAGCCATCTCTCCAGTCCAAGATACCTGTGTTTTAAAGTTATCTAAAATTTTTGTTTTGTTTTGTTCTGTTTTGTTTTCAACACAAAAGTTTCTCTGTGTAGCCTTGACTGTAGTGACTGTAGTGACTGAAACTCACTTTATAGATCAGGCTGGCCTCGAACTCAGAAATTTGCCTGCCTGTGAGTGCTAGGATTAAGGGCACATGCCACAACCACAAGGTTCTGGAGTTCTTTTTAATGACATGTCCTGTTTTTAGGTTTGTTTTTCTAAATCTGGCAATTCTGCCCCAGATGCATATGCATCCAGCTCCAAGTCCCAGATTCTCCTGACTGACCGGTTTTTGTTCCAGTTGGTCAGGTCTGAGGACTAGGGTGTGTCTTAAAGTTCTTCAATCTCCTTCCCTTAGGTCCTGGGGTATACCTCACCTTTGATCAGGGGATTGACAGTATCCTGAAGATATTCATGATTTTTACACTCCTGAAATGTCCCCCTTCGGCCCTGTAGGGAAAGAAAGAAGGTTAGGGATGAAGGTAGAAACTTTAGGGAGGATGGGGCATTCACTCTCTGGAAAATTTTTGTAAACTGATGTTACCTGCCTTGAGGACCAAGGCATCAGGTTCATTTTGTATGAAATATAGTAGCAACTTCCATAGCAGAAAAGAGAACAAATGTCCCTTCCTCTTCAACCCAGGTACAAGCGACTGGTAAAGAAGACTCTTGGAGAATTTGGAAGCTGCAGCCTCTGCAGTTAGAGTAGCCTCAGGGGCTTTGGCAGTATCCTGAAAGACTGTATGCATGGCACATGGAAACACTGCCTTTTTTTATTCCTGAAGGCAATCTCCCAGCTTGATCTGCTCTGAGACTTTCAGAAACAGGGTATTCTTCTGCCACGCCCAAATACCCTTAGCTTGCCCCTGTAAAGAGAAGGAAGAGATAGGGAGATCCAGAGACCAGATTTTGGGAGGCAGAGGTCAGTGGATTGGAGCCACTAATCCCAAGGGGTTCCAGGCAGTAGTGTGTGTCTGGCCTGGTCTTTGACCCCACCAGTTCACAGGAACCCAACTGTCCCAGAACTACCAACTCTGTTCAAAGAAGAAAGTATGAAGAGCCCCCCCCACCCCCACCCCAGACTGGACCAACTACAGCAATAGCAGCAGCAGCAGCAAGCAGAATCCTTTTGCCTTCAGCCCCCTCTGTTTACAGCAGTGTAGCAGGGTGGGGGATGGGAGGGCGGGACTCTGTGTCCCTGATTATCAGTTTGTGGAAGAATCCTTGCCACTCATTCCTTCGAAGGAGACATCTGAGTATGCACCATACCCCCCCCCACCACCACCACTGGGTCTTGCTAGTCCAGGATGTCCCCCTTCCCCCCACTGAGGCAGTGTTTCCTCTCTGGCCAGTTCTGTTCACCTCCCTAGAGGCTCTTGATTTATGCTGTTGAGTCTGAAAAGCTACCCTTGTAGAAGGAAAGGAAAGAGAGAAAACCAGTCCCAGAGGCCAGAAGGGCTGGAGCCAGGATCAGAGCCCCTTGGAAGAGGTTATTTAGCTCAGCACTAGCTGATCATGACAGCACCCTGGCTTTGGGAAAGTTGAAGCTGCCTTCAGGAAAAGAAGCTGAGTTTGTACAAACGCCTCTGCTCAGGAAATGGGGTGCAGGGAAGGTGGGGGTGGTTTGGAGCCCAAGGACAGGAGGGGACTCTTCCTGGCGGATAAGGGGTCAAGAGAAGGGGCGGAAATGGTCAAGACAGCTGCTGAACATCTGGAGTCACAGAGAATTAATTATTCAGCGCCCTGAAGGACAGTGGGGTGGGTGGGGAACCCTCTCCTTCCTGGCTCTTTGAAGAGCTGCTCCATTGTCTCTGCCTGACCCAGGATGAAGGATCTGGTGTGCTGTCCCTTTCCAGAGGGCTCTAACACTCATCTTGGGGTGATGAAGCCACAAATTATCCCTTCTGAACCTTCAGTCACAGTGAAACCCTATAGTCACATTGGACACCTTTTGAACAATCTATC